CCAGAGGTGCAGTGGATTTATGCCTGTTATGAATATTTTATAAAATAGTTTAGTTATCTCTGATGCGTACCAATTTATGCCTGTTATATCTTTATATTTTGTGATAAAGGATGTTCAAGATTTAGGCTTCAATGTTTTCGTTGCTCTTCGATTAGAAACTCTATTCTTCTAGCTGCTCTTCCGACATTCCCTTCTATCCTTTCGTTTGGCAAACATATTCAATTCTTTGATTAAATGATCTTTTCTTGACAAAGGGGCCACGACAAGTTCTTTATTGCATTTCTTTGCTCAAGACCTAGTTTCCAGGTTCAGAACCCTCTAAATTCTGTTTCGTCTGTAGTTTTTTTTCATCCCGATTGGAATCTAATGTTCATTTCAAGACGCATAATGTTGCATTTTAGAGGATATGGGTTCTTCTAAGTTTCCTGGAACTGTGTGAGCATTATTACCTCAGCACATAGGAAGATGATGGAAGGACTAATCGGAGTAAATGTTTGTAGAACGTTCATAGAAGTAACATAAGGAACCAGATCAGGTGAAGTCCATTTGGTGGATCTGGTCTTCTGGTTTCTTAGCTGGCGCGTGACTTTAGCGTTATGCGGCTTTTCTCTTTACAAATATAAAGAGGAATTACAAAATAGACGTGCTTTAATGAGATTTTTTCAAAGTTATCCAGCTTGATCTCTGGTTGTGTGTAATATTTGGAATGGATCTGTCTGACCGATGTAACTTGAAGTTCGTTATTAGAAGCCGAAAATGCTGGCTTGTTTTGTTTCCTAATTTACTATTTCATATTTTTCCACCTTCCCTCAATTTACATGCGGCCTTTATTTCTCCTCTGCCAGATTGAAACTATTTTCGGAGGTGATGCATGCTCCAAGATGAGGGAATCTGCTTTGAACTTGACCAGGCAGCTGGCTAAGACTGTCAGAATAGCTTTCGGTGATTTTGAAAAAAGGGTTACCGAGGAGGATAGTAAAATAAATGACTTGGATGGACCCAGGCATTCTCTGACGAGTTATGTAATGAATTTTTTGAAGAAATTATTAGAGTTTCAGTTAAGTATCTGATTTCTGCTCATTCGGCAAGTTGCTTATGCTTTTTATGCCTTACGTTCTTGTCCTTATTAGCATAATGTTAGTTTGCATGTTTGATTTCTTAGTCATATAATTGAGTTCCCCTTCTGATTCCTTGTTGATGGCTCTTATTAGTATCCTTATACTTGAGGAGAAGCAGATATTCTCAGCTATTCAGTAAATTTTAAAAGATAGAAAACTATGTAATCGTGTAGTTTCGTTATGGTCTGAATTTACTGGTCATTTTGTCCAATGTGGGCGTGCAGGATAAGCTACCGTTGTGGCCTACATTTTTTTTTTTCTATCTCGGTCTACCTCTGCCATGACATGTCAGTTTCTCTCTGTTGCATTCTATCCTTCAATTTCTCTGAATGCAAGACTCTGACTAGTAAAAGATATCACAAATTATCCAATTTGATGTTAATATCTGTCATGGAGCCATACAATTTTCTCATTTCTTCCAATCCTTGATGATAAATAGCCAGGTATTGAAACACAGTACTGGGGCATCTTTGTGACATTATTGGAGTATGTCTTCTGAAACGGGAGAACATCTCAAAGTCACAGGTTGCTTTTTATAGGAGAACTTCTCTTTCTCTTCTGCTAAGCAAGATTTTAAGGTGGTTTCATTCGACTCATGAAAAAACAGAAACCTTTGGTATCAAGATTGATGGTGAAGTTGCCAAAAATTGTTAGGTGGCGGAGTAAAATCTTCTGAATCGTGGCAGCTTTTATATATACAGAAATAATATATTCTGAGACAATGCTCCCCCAATTTAGGGTTTACTGCCTGATAAAGGGCCTCCAGTAAGTTCTCTTCACCATACTTGGGTTGAACAGGTTTGGCTTTCGGGAAACCTGGGCCCGGCCTGTCTGCTTTTAAGAGATCCTTGGAGTCATAAATACCGGATTTGGGTACTTACTCATGCGGCCAGAAAATAATGCCTGAAATCTTATTCTGGACTGAAAGATTCCCAAGAAATTTGCATTCTCTACTGTGTTTAGTAATATGTGCCGTAGATAACTTGAAAGAAAGCATAGATCCTTTCCAAGTAGGTCACTCAAGCCCTGTTTATACCATCTGTTAGTAACTTGAGGTATAGTTTCTAGTATGATTTTTGCTCTGTTGTGCACCATGTTACAGGTCCTTATACTTTGTTTTTATTCTTGCCAAACCATCTTGAATGCCCTTTATTGATCATCTTGTTTTGTGTTTCAAAATATCTCTCAATTTAACTGTATATACATATATTTCCAAGTATCTGGGAAAGTGATTGTTGGAACTTGTTCAGTCACCGGTCAATCCTAGAGATCTGTCACGAAGAACCCGATGCTGGAAATGAAGCGAATCATGGAACAGCGAATGTGATAGGCAAGATAATAACTGCTCTGTTGTCAAATCTGGAAGGAAAATCCCAGAAATACAATGAAACTGCTCTGCGTCACTTTTTTCTCATGAACAACGTTAGTTATATGGTGAGATATGTGCGCGAGTAAGTGATGACGCATTCTTTAGTAATTGAAATACATCAGACATTTCAGATAAGGACCATTTCTCCCTTGCTGTTATCAGATTAAAAGCTGAAAAACTAGTCGGTGATGATTGGGTACCAAGGCATCGGAAGATTGTTCAACAGAATGCGAATAAGTATATAAGAGCTGCCTGGATGCCGGTAAACCACTTGTTCTTCCCCCACCAACTTCTTTAATTTCCTTGTTCATTTTTCCTTTGCATGATTATTCGGAAGTGCATTATGCTTCATTTTGTGGCGTCCAAACCTGATTCGGAACTTTTCCTCTCTAAAAATCCTTTTTTTATAACGCCTGTGCACCGGTGGTTTATTTTCTCTAGCTATCATGGCGAACTAATTCTCATACCATCAGATTATGATTTGTTACTACTTCAATGAACATAAAAAATCCCTGGCGGCATGAGCAATGATAACCTCATAGAAATGCTCACGCTGGGCTCTGCTATTAATTATGGCTTTTTTCATAATTGCCATTCTTCAATGTAGCCCTGGTCTAATCTGTAAAGTTCTAAAAACTACCACCTTTGGGAGCAGTGAGCCCCCTTCCATAATCTTTCTCTTTAATAATGTTACTAATTCAAAAGGAAATCAAGAGGACAGAACTCTCGAATGAACATAAAGAAGAATCAGCATCTACTCACCCACTTAGTTTGAGAGAAATGCAAGCAATGGGTCATGCTCTCAGGCCATCAGTGGCTATTTCCTCTCCTAATAACTCGTGCTGGGCTCCTTCAAAGCGTTCTAGGTAGCTGTCTCACTAGCTGTCATACCCTCACTAGCTGTCTCATTTTCAGGTCAACCATATCGCTCTTGATCATAGCTTTCTGTAGGTGTGAGTCTGATAACTGGGTCTAGCCAGTGACGACATGAATCCAATGTTGCTGATGATAACCCTTTCCACTGTGAAAATTGATGCGCTGGTGAGACCCAGGTTGTGCTGAATGCATATTCTTTTGCTCTGTTTCCCCCTACAGATTCTGCAGATCCTCACGATTCAGGGAAGTAACACCGGAGGCAGCGGCGTTGGAGGGACAGGGGGCAGCAGCGGGGTGTCCAGATCGCTGGTCAAGGAGAGGTCTGCAACTCTTGATGTGAAAAATCCCTGGGAGTCTCCTACCTGCTTACGCTGTATCAGAAAAATCCCTGAAGTACCTGTGGCCTTCTTCTGTTGCCAGGTTCAAGGCATTCAACGCGCAGTTTGAAGAACTCCTTCAGCGCCAATCCCAGTGGACAGTAGAAGGGGCTGAGTTGCGTGAATCTCTCAGGCTCTGGATCGTCGAACTGTTCTTGCCTGCCTACAGAAACTTCACCAAACGGTTCGGGTATGCTCCTTCCTGCAGAAACTTGATACAGTACTCACGGGAACCTATCCGTGCGAAGGAAGAACCAGACTCTCGTCTTCCGCATCTCCTTATCTTCTCCATCTCTCTCAGATGCCTTCTTTCTTTCTTCGCAGGCCCCTGGTGGACGGCACGAAGAACCAGGAGAAGTTCTGGAAATTCACGCCGGAGGACGTCGAGCGGCTGATCGGCGGCTTGTTCGAGGGAGGTAACCCCCACAGGCCAAAGGGCTGAGAGATTGTGCAGGGGGAGGCATCCTCCTCGCTGTTCATTCATCCACTGAGAAGAGGAAGAAGGCCTACTGAATCCTCCGAGGTCTCTGCCCCAGGAGGGAGACGACGGCGTCCCCCGGTGGGTTTAGGTTTTCGGGTTATGGGCCCGGCCCAGGTTGGGCCATAAATGGGCCGGGCTGGCTTTCGTCAGACTCCAGATTCATTTTGTTCATTTGTTCGTTGAAACTATATTGTATGGGTACCACCGGAAAAGGGTTTCAAAAGCTTTTGGGCTGGGCCCAGGTTGTACCATAATGGGCCACCAAGTTCACCTCCGGATGTGCTGGATTTTTCTATATCTGGAATTCTTAGTACATTTATAGCCCATTTTTTTAAATATATAATTGTGAATAACTCTGGTGCGGCCACGTGTCTATGCTGTGGGGCCCACTGGGGCCGGGTTTTGAAACCAGGGTAACTACTCGCGGGACCGGGGTCAAGGACCTGGGGAGGCTGGTAGGGAGGAGGGGAGGTGTTTCCGGAAGTGGAAAGCAGAGGTTACCCCACGCGCCGAGAGCAGACTCACGGTTGACGACGTAGCGGATCTTGCCGACGCAGGCCGCACGTCATCTTCCTTCCGGCTGGTCTGTCGTGGCCTGCGGGCACCTGGGGGGGTGGGTGGTGAAGTCGTGATAGATCTCTTCAGCCTTCTCCCCCTGATCATGGTCCGCCGCCGGCGCTGGCAACCTCCGATCCGCGAATAAGGAAGCGGCGCCTAAGGCGGGGAGGGGTTTTCGTCTCATATTTGTTCCGTCTCTGCGGGGAATCGATCTGGGGGAAATGAGGGTTCCACAGGGGACGGAAACCCTGAAGCGGAGGGCGAGCTTCCTGAGGGAGTCGCTGCACAAGAGCCAGACAGTCACGGAGGGAATGGTCTCCATTCTTGGCTCCTTCGACCAACGTCTCTCCTCCCTCGAGACCGCCATGCGCCCCACTCAGGTAGGAATTCGGCTCTTCCAAAGTCGGTGTCCAGAATTGACGGTTCTTCTGTCTCATTCCTTTGCCCTCAGTACTCGTTCTGGCGCGATCTGGCGGAATTTCTCACCTGGCCTTTAAAATGTTCATCACGTTGCCGGATTTCGGAACCTTCCTCTCTCTATTCTCGATCGGCACTTTGAAGTTGTCCTCTTGAATTCTCTCCCGATGTCATCATGCAGGTGAGAACGCATGCCGTCAGGAGAGCTCACGAAAACATCGACAAGACACTGAAGTCGGCCGATGTAATCCTGGTTCAGTTTGATCTGTCACGCGAGGTGTTCTCCTTTCCCAATCTATCGCCCTTTATGGTTTAATTGGTTTCCTCGTGCATACTTTAGATCTTTGAATCTTAAACCTTAGTGCCCAGCATAATAGGAGCTTGGGATGGGAAAAATAAGTGTGACATTTGCTTGGGGTGATTAGAAGTAAGCTTTGGAGGTAGACAGCTTTTTAACTCAAACTCAAGGTGTAGCCCTATCATCATCATTCATGGATCCGCCAAGGGAATAATTTTGTGCTTAAGAGTTCAACCAATGCCAACCGGTAAAAAAATAAAAGAGAGGCCGTCCTCCTTGTACACTGCGATTGTTTCGAACGAGCACAAAATTAAATTGTCCTTATCAGTTATTAGGGAACTGAGAGAAGGTCTTAAACAACCAGAAATATGCAAATATTGGGAACAGAAAGTTGTTAATTACGTGAGCCAAAGAAGTCAGACTATGATCAGGTTTTGACGATTTTATGTGGAACCTCCTACAGTCTATGATCCCCTGAGAGCAAACTCTTCGTCTGCATTAATGTCATCCCCTTTAGAGTTTTTGTTTAATCTCTATCCCTTTCAAATTAATCATAGTCGAGACAATCCTTTCTTTCGATGAAAGAAATTACATTGACTTTGGTGTATTTCATGTACGGCTCTCATACTTCTCTCTGCAACCATCTGTTTCTTTATCTTTCCCACATTTCAGTTATTATCTCCTCTAGGGTAAGAATTTAATTGACCTCACAAAATGTTTCTTTAAATCGGAATTGGAGACGCTGAGTATGGAGTTTGGACGTATTCGGTTGCCAGGTAGACCGCTAATCTTCTCCCCCCTCCCCCCTCCAGAACAGTAGGGAGACCACTCACATACTGCATAGCTATATGCACATTTCATGTTTTTTTGGCATCAAATTTGTTGCTATATGTTTTTTTCATATGAAAATTGATCATCACTTTTTGAAGATGTAGGCAGAAGCAAAGATCCGGAAAGGGCCACATGAGGATTTAGACGGTTTTTTGGAGGCCGTGGAGCAACTAAGAAAGAATTTCTCTTTCTTCAGCTCCACAAAATCTTTCAAGAGTAGTGATGGGGTGCTTAACCATGTAAATGATTTGTTGTCACAAGCTATTTTAAATTTAGAGGAGGAATTCAAGCAGTTGTTGTCTTCTTACAGGTTTGTTACTACACAGCTGGCAACCTGCATCGTATTCATATGCTTGCTTACTAGTTAGGAACTAAATTTTCATTCTAAAACATTTCATTCATTATAGTGATGTGATGGTGCAAGGTTTCCTCATGCATTAGAATAAAATTCTTCCTATCATATTTTTCGTTCACTATTTATGCTAGAGGTTCTTTCCTACGTTAACATTTTTTGAGTTTAATAATACCTAACATCAGGCATAAGGTGGTGTATTTGCACAATGAAGAAGAAAATGGGAATGATTAGTATATGAGATAAAAAAAAAAGGAAAGTTATGCTACTCATTGAGATAATCATCAACACGAGACCAAAATTATATGATGAAATGTTTTTATTTGAAAACATGTGGGCAACAGTAATGGGTGAGGAAGCTTGTGGAGTGTGTATGAGGTTTACTGGCAGACACACATGACTATTTTGAAGGCATTAATGCAGATATATGTAGGAGCTGTTTAAAATTTTTGAAACGGCTCCAAAGGGGAAGATGAAGATTACGAAGTGGTTAGATGGAAGGAAGGAAGAACAACCGTGAAAGGCTGTTTGGCTAGACATGAACACAAATGGTGTTCTTGTGCCATGCTGTGTTAAATGGCTTTTTGAAATTTAATGTTTAAGAAGAAACAAATATTCGTATTATCTATATAATTTTTGTGATTATTTCATCTTTGTACATATGTATGCTTTATCTTATTAATCTAATACTTTACATAAAAAAAGATTTAAAACGTATTAAAAATGGCTTTGCTAAACTGCACCTTGTTACCTTAAAACCTTTTTTGTGCGTTATGTGGAATAATAGCGCAAGGAAATGGTGATTGGCGATTCTGCCAACAATATGTTGTTGGCAAGGATTGAAGAAAGGAGCAAATTTGTGGTGATCCCTTCTTGTCCTCCTCCTTCCTCTAGTTAGATGAGTAGAGGATTATGTGAGGAACGTTTTTTTATGTGTATAATTTTTTTGTCTTTAGTTATACAACATTGTAATCTCTATGTTTAATAATTGTTAATGTGTTTCACTTTAAGAAAAAAAATATAGTTGTCACCGTTGAGCTCAAACCCTAATCTATTGCCTTGGAAAAGTGAAGTTCAAGTAATTACAACATCCTGACATGGTAGTGATGTGTAACAGTAGATAGTATGGGCAATGGAGAAGTCATTTTTACACATGACTTAATCCTGAGCACGGTTGCTCTTAAAATCCCTTTATTTTTGGAGTTCTTTTCTCCATGTTTCATTATGAAAGCATACTTTTGGTGGCTAACATCAGGCAATAACTTTATTTAACGCTAAGAAAACTTTAAAATCACTGTCATCGATAGTCACTCCTCGTCAGTAACAGTTAGCTTTGTTCACAAAGAATCAAGTACCACAGTAAGATTACTCGAGGGATTCAATAAGATATTGCTTCCCAATGCCATTGTGGCCCTGAAAGAGAGAAATTATGGCATTGCTGTAGGAACACTTATAAAAGAAATAGAGATGGTTTTAAGATTTTTTTTGAAAGCAAACCCTTTCAGTCGTGATAATCTCTATAGCTGAAGAGAACTTTTCTCCACAGCCACTAAACTAGGAGTATCGCCAGCAGTTTGTGTTGTTGCATACTGAGTTCCTCTGAACTCCGGGATGGCATAGATAAGCACTCTGAGTAGTGTTACTAAGTTCTGAATAATCCAATAATGTTCTAACAGTAATATGTACGGTCAGGCGTTTAAATGAGTACTGAATAGTCTGACACAAGATGTATGAAGGTATATGGTCATATAGCGTTTAATTGTCTTTGTTGTCATAACACATGTAATTAACGGCCTCTGTTTTTCATATCCAGAAACCACAAAATTAGTCAAACAATAACCAACAAAAGTCTGGAAATGGATCTCAGAGACTGTTCCAGAAAAACAAAAGGTAGTTAAACTACCAAATAAATCAGTTTCACCTGCAAACTTAGGCAGCGACACTGAACTATTTTCTTCCTTTTTTGTTGGTATGCCATTACGTAAGAATTGAGATTATTATGATTACTATCTTGAGAAGCTTTAAATAAAAAATGTCCGTGTAGATACCATTAAAAAATAAGAAACTCTACTTCAACCAAAAGGATTTCACCTTTCCTTTTTTGTGTTATTTTTTTTCGTCTCAATATTTATCATGTGTAATAGCAAGGTAGTTTTAAAGCTTTGTTTAATTATCATTGAAGAATCTGTTTCAGTTATAAATAGGATATATGCTGTATTGATATTTTCTATTTTTTCAATGATATCCTTGGGTGGCTTGGCCTGGTATTTTAAATATTATTTAGGATTCTTCATATATAATTGCTTATGTGTGTATGATTTATTGCTTCTTTAGCTCATGATAAATACGGATCCTATTTCTCTTTCGTTTTTCAACTACTAAATTTCATCTGCGGTTATGGGTGTGTGGGCAACCTAACTGTGATTCTGGTGTGAGTTCTGATCCCCTCACCTTGTATTGCAGCAAACCGCTGGAGCCTGACAGCATATTTGAGTGTCTCCCGAACACTTTGCAGCTATCTTCTGAGGCACATGGAAACCACAGCGATGCTAATCCTAAAACCCCATCTGCAACTACTCACATTGAGCAACACACGAAAGTTGCAGATACTGCAGTGTACAAACTTCCGGTTTTGATTCCGCCAAGGATCTTGCCTGTCCTGCATGATCTTGCAGAACAGATGGTCCAAGCTGGGAATGGTCAAGATTGTGTTATTGTCTACAGGTATATTTATGCTGGCTGCCTTAGTTGATTTGGTATCAAATTCTTTTCTTTGCATTCAATTATCATGTAAAATAGACCTTATGTCTACGTTCGAGTGATGTAGTGAAGAAGATTTGCTTGACATATACTGTATTTTGAACCAGTTTACCTTACTTCAGTATCATCATTGTCATGATCCTTATCATGATAATGTTTTATCCTATCGTTTAAGGCTGGTGTAGGATCTGGAGTAGCAGAACTTGGTGGCGGTACATAGATTTTCCGGTTTTCTGTCATTATGATGTTAACCTCCATTTTATTATGCCAAATTTGGTTCATGTTTTAAGAAAGTAAAATCCGGATACCTTTGTTGGAGTACCCAAAATAGCTGTTGTCTGCTAATGAGATCCGCTGGGGAAACTTGTGAAATTTCGATTGTCCAGAAACGAACTCAATTGCTTTCTGAAATAAGATATGTGTTCACACCTCCCAACCCTGGGCAATTGTCTGGGCTTACTTCTCTTGCTTCCAGAGTGTCAGTGTCTTCACTTTTAGTTGGTGAGTGACTACGGTTGGCCATCTTCTGTGTGGGAGCTCTTTGTCTCCCAAGCTCAAGGCTTAAAGGGGTTCTGCCTGCGTTGAGTGTGCTGATCCTCTGATATCTGATCCACCAGAATATTATATAGGTAAGGTACCTGGGATAGTGCGTGCGTCATTTTTGGTTTTGGGGATGGATTTGACGTTGTATTGTCACGTTGTTCAGTTTTTTGCTCTGTATTTCTTTATTGAAATGTCTGTGCATTATCACTGTCTTTAAACGGGTGAGTTTTTTATTGGTTTTCTGTCATGATTTATGTAGTCCATTCATGCCCTACTATTTGTCTGATTTGCCTGGAGACCACATGCTTAACTTTTATTCTCAGTAAACTGTGTCGGTCTACTTCTCTTTAGGGAAATGCGTGCGCCGATTATGGAACAGACACTTAGAAAACTCGGAGTGGAGAAGCTTAGTAAGGACGATGTGCAGAAAATGCCGTGGGAGGCATTGGAAGCTAAAATCGGGAATTGGATTCACTTCATGAGAATTGCGGTATTGAATTCAGTTGTTATGCATATAGTGATCCCCAGTTTCTATTTCAATTGCTGACTCTGTTTGGAACAGGTAAAATTATTGTTTGCAGGGGAGAAAAATGTTTGTGATCAAATATTTAACGGTTTTGAGTCTCTAAAGGACCAGTGCTTTGCTCATGTAACTGCCAGTAGTGTAGAGATGCTCCTTAGTTTTGGAGATGCTGTGGCCAAAAGCAAAAGGTCTCCAGAGAAGTTATTTGTTCTTCTAGACATGTATGAGATAATGAGAGAGCTTCAGCCAGAGGTAGAGTTGGTTCATTCTATGAATGTTGCATGTGATGATTTTTTTTTTAACAAAGGAGAGTCGAGCTTCAGTTTTCTTCTCATTCCGCTTCCACTTGCAATAGGAAATGTTCATCACATATTCTAGTTGATCGAAAGATAATTTATAATTGTGAATTCCTTAATTATAGTGTTGAAACGTTTACGTCAAAATCATGGACTCTTTAAATTCTCAGATTTTAGCGTTGCTGGAAAAACGGTAATATTGGGACTATTTTAAATGTGATCTTAGGAATTCAATCATTTTGAACGCTGATAAGTTTTCCACTTGTTAGTCTAGCTAATGTTGATATTATGTTCGACGCTGCAGAAAATGCTACTATGATGTGATTTCGATGATCATAAAAATTCAGATTTACAGCTCCAACTATTTTGGGTATCATGCAAGTTTGACTCTCGTTCATAGTTGCCAAGATGAGAAATCCTTCAATCATATTTTTCAATTCTAATATAGTCAAGTTTTAAAACTGTCTGGTCAACGCATCCAGTAGGGTCGAGCTATCTAATCTTTATGATCCCAGAATGTTAAGTTGGGAGCTGCCGATCTTCTATTATGTCTACACTGCATGTCTGAGGACCCTTTTTTCAGGACACGTCAAGCCATGTATCTTGTTGACGTACATCAGACCAGAAAAAACTTATTACTCTAGCTATTTTTTAGCTGTTATTAGGACGTTAGATCTTGTTGACAACTCTCAATGGCTAGTGGGGCATCCCAGGGAGAACACCTTAAGAGCCTTCGTTGAAAACAAAGGATGGAAAGGGGATTTCGAGACAAAGTTTGCTTATTCATGAAATCTAAGAGTTCGAAACTTTTAGTGCATTTTCAACCAAGAAAAACGAATGCCCCTTAAATCAACACGGAAGTCGTGCACGGTTATTGATGACTGTATGCAATTTTGTAATCGTTTTGCATTATCTTTCGTATCGTTAACCTTTTAGGAAGTCTCATTTTAAGCATTCAAGGAAGAATACCTAATGTTTGTGTTTGAGAAATTTTGAACATTTATGGAGAGACGGTACACCTAGTCTAGGAATGCAATAGGTGAACGTTGTGAGCATTTTATCAAGTGACTTTAGATCATTTTGCTTCGTTTGGGTATGTTCTTCTCATATATCTGGAAAAGGTTTCAGCTCATCACAGGACCTTGCCCTCCTCTCCCACTCTTTAGTTCTTAAGTTCTATGTTCAAGGGACCAACAAAAGCTGTCACCTGTAGGTCAATTGTCCAAATATTTGCCGAGGGCATTCTCCTATTGACACAAGAAAATCTGGGACATTGTAATATATTTCAAAGATCTAGAAGGTTCTGACATTGTAAGGAATATGATTGCACTTTGAAGTTCCTGTTTATCCTTTCAGTTGCCAGACATTCACAAATTTGATGATATGATGATTAAAAGAGACTCAATTTGTTTTCTACGTTATCCATTTGGCACAAATTTCAGTTGCACTTTGTTTTCTCTGGATTTTTGTATAATTTGAATGAGAATCTGATCTACATGTTTTGCCCGCACAACATCTGTATTTGGCAGTGGATTAAATGTTTAGAACTCTCCTTGGAGATGATGCATACGTCACTTCTGTCGTTAAAAACTGATGGAAAGGCTGGCTGGAGTTAGATGGTTGCATAAATATATCAATAAATGAATAAAATTTACCCTGCCCAGTCTGGTTTTCCCAGGCGTGGGCCTCATAATCAAGCACAGAAAGAAATGGGCATCATCCAGCCCAACCTGTTGCTAGAGCAGGGTTCGACTAAGAACCTCGGATCTCATTTTCGTCTGGGACGTGACTGTCTTAAAGCCACTCATATAGACGACTCAAACAGACGGGAAATCGCATCCTAGGCTAGGAAGGACCAGCGTAGGGAGGTCTTGTGTTTCATAGGGCTTAACATGGAGCTATTTTTTGGGCTTTTGTGTGGGCTGGGTCTTGAAAAAACTGTCTGGACTTGAGCTGGCTTTAGCCAGGCCCAGGCCAACCTCAGTCTGTCGATTCCCTGATCTGTGAAACCATGTTCTGGCCCTAAGTGGGGAGAATCTGGTAAATAATCATAGTATTAATTGGTCATAGTGTTTCAAATATTTGGTAATGGTCATCCAGGTTTAAGGTGATCCACCTCTGATGCTGTATGATTTTGATGATTGCTCAAGTAAAATATGGAAAAATATCAAAAAGGTATACTAGTTTTAATTTGATTCTGAAAAGGTGTCTTCATGAACCGGATGATTAATTTCTCAAATGCCAGATGTACAGACAACCCTAAAGCTAGACTTGATTTTTTTTCTCGGGCGTATTCTAATTTGAATTTGTTTTCGTTCTCTAACAATTCTGGTCTTTGTTCTTCTGTCCTTTCAAAAATTTCTGCCAGATCAAAACGCTTTTTGAGGGCAAACCATGCTCAGAGATGCGGGAGTCTTTATTGCTCTTGACAAAACAGTTGGCTAAGACCGCACAAGAAACCTTTGGTGATTTTGAAGAAGCGGTTGAGAAGGATGCTTCGAGGACTACTGTTGCAGATGGAACTGTCCATCCTCTGACCAGCTATGTGATCAACTATGTGAAATTTCTATTCGAGTGAGTTATCCGACTTTTCTTCTGGGCTCCACATATTGCTTTAAACCTGGATCTGAATGTTCCATAGTTTATTCTGTGGCTTGGTGTTATTTCCGCCACACTATTCCCTGCAATTACATAATGAATATTTCTTTGAATTCATTTTTTGTCTCTAATTTTTCAATGGCTGCTGTTAGCCATTTTTTTCTCTATTTCCTGAATTCTCCGGTAACAGGCCTTTGGTAGATTAGGAGGACGATCGGGTTGCTTTGACTGGGTTTCAATCTCGTGACATTAGGAGACTCGTGGTGGATAGTATCCATCAATCAGGCATAAGCCTTTTCTCATCAATCTAGTGCATATAGATCCAACCAGAAAAGTTCAAGGGCAATTGTTAAGTTTTCTGACCAGGTGGCCTCCCTAGTCCCTGCCCTTGGGCAAAGTGGGTTGAACCTCAGGGATAAGGTAACTTTGAGCAGATAAATAGCCTACCAAAAGCTCCATTACACAGCTGCGGTTTTGTTGGCCGTTTAAGTTTGGCCACTCATCGACTGACTCTCAATAATCTCGACTCTTTTGTCTTTGTTTAGGTGTTGTATTCCGTAGAAGGTGAGGCTGAGAATTCAATTTTTTGGCTTTTGATGACTTTCTATTTCAGCTCAACACTCCTCATCGACCATTATTGACATTCCATGTGTTCTTCTGTTTATTACTTGATGGACCGTGGTTAACTTTAGCTGTCATTTACTTTAATCCTCTGGGCATCATTCACGCTTACCTGAAAAAAGTCTCTGTTGAAACGTCCCCAGCTACCAGTCAACGTTGGACTTACTCTTCCAAGAGTTTGATACCGGAGGCAAACCAGACAATCATCTGGCCAATGTGACGATGAAGATTATGAACGCTCTTCAGGCAAACCTCGACGTGAAGTCCAAGCTGTATAAAGATCCTGCCTTGACCCACATATTCCTCATGAACAACATTCATTATATGGTCAGATCTGTCCGCAGGTGAGAAATACCCAACCTTACCCTATTAAGAACACCTTAATCATCACAGACATGACAAGAGGCGCTTCATTACTGTGATCAGATCGGAAGCTAAGAATCTATTAGGCGATGATTGGGTTCAAAGACATCGGAGGATTGTTCAGCAGAATGCAAATCAGTATAAGAGAGTTGCTTGGTCTAAGGTTTGCTGCTTGAACATTTTTCTTTTTCCGTCTATCTGATACCGCCACAGTATTTGGAAAATTATTGACGTTCCGGCCATTGTTTGCCGTTCATTGACCTTCAGTGGTTCTGGACATCTCACTATGTTGACTTATCTCTTTTCTTCTCTAAGATATAGTCGGAGGTTTCATCTCTTTCTAAAGAAAGGGAATTCCTTGTGCCGGGCTGAGAACTTTGCCTTGTCTCTGTGGTGCTTCAGATTCTTCAGAGCCTCACGATCCAAGTGAGCGGCACCACCGGCAGCGCCGGCGGCGGAATGGGGAGCGAGGGCGGCAGCAGCGGGGTTTCAAGGGCTACGGTCAAAGAGAGGTGCCGAGAGACGATCTAAATATCTTCTTTCTCTTCTTTTCTTTCTGGGTTTTCGGCATCGAGGGGAGGCCTGAGCTGGCGGCGGCTCTCTGTTGCCAGGTTCAAGTCGTTCAACATGCAGTTTGAAGAACTTCATCAGCGCCAGTCACAGTGGACGGTGCCCGACCCCGAGCTGCGGGAGTCCCTCCGCCTCTCCATCGCCGAGATTCTCCTGCCTGCCTACAGAAGCTTCATCAAACGGTTTGGGTATCTCTCTCTCTCTCTCTCTCTCTCTCTCTCTCTCTCTCTCTCTCATATGGAGGGTCAGGTGGGTCTGGTCAATCTAAAGTCCGGGTTCGAATGGGTCCGGTTGGGAGCTCATCTTTCAGCCTCTGGACTCCGCTGACTGCAGTCAACGTCCAGCGAGTTGTATCCTGAGCTGCTCTCTCTCTCCTTCTTTCAGGCCTCTCATAGATGCCAACAAGAACCCCGAAAAGTACCGCAAGTACACGCCGGAGGGCCTGGATCAGATGCTCGGCGAGTTCTTCGAAGGCAAGACCTAGCCACCCCCCACCCCTCTCTCTCTCTCTCTCTCTCTCTCTCTCTCTCTCTCTCGCTGATTATGATGATGATGATTGTATTGGGTCTGGGCTTCTTCTGTATGTTTGTAGTCGAGGGCTTCTCCTGGTGTATTCTCTAGGGTTCAATCAGCGCCGCTTTCTCTCTCTAGACTTGGAACAGTATCTCGTTGCTGAGGTTTTCAAGGCATGGATGGATGGATGCCTGTTTCTCTAGGCGCCTCTTCTCCCTCTTGGTTGAGCGAGAGCTGGTAGGGTACGGCGGCCACAGCCCAGCCCAGTTTTTCCCGGGCCCAGACCTCGAAGCTAAGCCCGGAAAGTCCATTGGGCCCATTTCCTAGTCCGATAACTGGGCTGGGTCGGTCTGTGGATGTGGGTCCCACACCTTTTGTTGTTAATTTCGAGTCGGTCACCGGCTCGATCGCCTCCCTCTCAGTCACTCCCTGCCACTTTCCCAATCCTCTTCCTAACTAAGTAGAGGCTCCTCGCTCTCCCGTTCTTCTCCCGTTCCTCCTTCCAGGCTGTCGTTGAACTGATTATTCCTCCGGAGGTCGCTCAGATCCCTCTGACCATGAACAGCGAGCCCAAGCCTGTCGTCACCGGCTACCCGGCGGCGGCGCAGCCGTCGTACTCCGGCACCGCCGCGGCAGGCCCCGCCTACGGATCCTCGTACCCGTACCCCGCCACCGCGCCCGCCTATTATCCCCCGCCGCCGCCGCCGCCTCCTGGACCGTACCACGACCCGAATGCGGTCTACGGCCACAGAAACAGCAGCTCCCTGTTCATCCGCCGCTTGATTATCATTTGCATTTCTGTATTCCTCATCATCGCCATTGTCACCTTCATCCTCTGGCTGGTGCTCCGCTTCCGTCTGCCAGAGGTCGCTGTCAGTGCGGCGTCAGTTTCCTCATTCAATGTCTCCAACTCCCAGCAGGTCACTGGGAATTTCAACCTGACGTTCATGGTGCGCAATCGCAACCAGAAGATGGGTATCTTCTATGACAGGGTCCAAGCCGCGGTCTTCTACGGATCGGACTCGATATCAGAGACGTCGCTGCCGCCTTTCTACCAGGGAAAGGGGAACTCCACCGCTGTGCCGGCAAGGTTCGCAGCCGTCTCCGCGTACGTGGATCCAGACGTTGCCAGCTCCATCTTGAAGGAAAGATCGAATGGCGGAGTCGTCAATTTCCACGTGAGGATTATGGCGTGGGTTAGGTTTAGGGCTGGCGCTTGGAGGACGAGGAGGCATGTGATGAGGGTCTACTGCGACAACGTGAGGATCGGGTTCTCCAACTCGACCTCACTGATCGGTTCGCTAGAAGGGGCGCCGAAAACGTGCCGCGTCGATGTGTGAGTGCTCCTTAGGTTTCTTCTTTCCTCGTCTTCTTCGTTGTTCTAGTATAGTGAAAGCATGTCCTGTTTGTGATGGATCGCGGTGCCATGATTTTCTGTTCTGATTACTAACAATGTGAAACAGAGGTTCTTCATATTAAATGGCAGATATCGATGTAAATAAAAATGATTTTTGGTTCGTCTCATTCTTTTTCTGTTCTTCTTTCCTTTTGCCGCCTATACCTGCATTTCCATTCCTGTTTCGACCATTCTCATGCGTCCTATGGAGAACAACCCAACCGATCTCATGAATCTTCTGGAGAGTCTCTCTTTCATACAACGATCACTTCCAGGCAATCAGAAAATCTTTGTGGCCTACTTGATGGGAGAATTTTCATCCGTGGGAGTTCTGTGGATACTTCCACCTACGTTTCTATTACTTGACCACCCATCAGAAGAATCAAACACAGAGGGTTGCACTAATCTTCGCAATTACTGTAAAAAAACAGCCAAGTAGAAAAGCACCATTCGTGCCTGTAATCCTCCAAGCTGTCACCAGAAACCCTATCTCTCCTGATCCTTAGTTAAAATTGTGATAAATTGCATCACAGTGGGATGTAACCATGAAAGAGTTGATTCTTTAAAACTCAATAGCACTTTATTATGTCATCTACTTTAGTACATACTTTATGAACAAGAGGATATATCAGTCCTAGTTCTGTGGATCCTTCCAAGCACATTATCCGAGGATCATCATTCATACACAGTGAGGTTCCTTTGCCTTGGCCCGCCTGCTGCTCCAGTTTCTCTGATGGTTCTAGGAACAATGTTCAGCAGTTTCATGTTCCAAACTTAAAATTCTTCTCCTTTGAACTATGTTCCGGTTTAGTGTTTGCGCAGAAGCTTTCAGATCCCACCATGTGAAATCTTCCTTAGTAGCCCAATCAATGGCGCCAGGCATTTAGGACCAGAGCTCGGTCAAACCTCTCATGGTGATGGTGGATGAATCGCTACCCTATACACTGTTTCCTCTGGGTTTTCTATTAGAATCAACGTGAAGCCAGAAGGAGTGTTCATGCTTCTTTACAGAAAATTATATATCAGTTTTAAAGATGGCCCGGGCATTTCCTAGCTGACTCCTGAAACTAGTTGGAATCATTACATTTTAGTCAGCCCGTCTGACTTCAAACAGGATTAGATGATCCAAAAAGGGATATTAGATATAAGGGAATTCTGCATATTCTCTTCATGAAAAAGGAAAAGGGGAAGGTCATCTGGGAGTCTTTAGTCCACAGAAAATATGCGTGAAAATATTTATTTCTCATGAGAAATATATCCGACTTAGCTCGCAAAAATTTCGATTTATCGCATTATATAATCTTGTCATTTAATATCAGGGACTACAACTTATAGAGCCAGTTAAACTGACGGCCTCACCTCTGAATTTGTTCTATTTTAGGCTTTGATTCGTCAAACTTTTCGTTCTTGGCTACAAGTTGGGCTGAAAACCGTGGATTTTTGTTCGTGCTCCTAGTTAGAGATTGAATATGGTATCTCTTGCTCCATATTTGCTTTTGGAATAAGAATTCCCACTTGACGCATTCACATTCTCGTCCCGCAGTTGACCAAAACCCTCCCTGTTCTGGATTAGCCTCGGGTGACAGTCAACGCCAGAACATGGGGATATTCTTGGTGCCTAATAGCCGAAGAAGTGGCAAAAGTATGGCCATACGATTAGATATGTGATTATATGTCGGTCCTCGCTTTGGGATGGATACCTTCAGTCAGTCATAGCCGTGAAAACTTTCCGAAGCCCGACGACGGCCGTGACGGAGACCGGGCACCCTCTTGACGTGACCTCCCCGGCGACAATGGGCCTCCATTTCCGGCATGAGCGCCGCCGGCCGCCGGCGGGCTCCGGCGATGGGTGTTCGAGCGCGTCCCTTCAGGCGGCGCCGCTGCCTGATGGTCTCCGGCTCGGGCCTGCCGGGTGAGCAGACAAACCGTTGCTCTCTCTGTCTCATAGAGGACAGATACTGACGCGGTAATGGCAAGATGATGCCGACCCATTACTTACTCAAGTTGCCGGCATTCGAATCCCTGTTTAACCGAAGACCTAGTGTAAGCCGTCGGCAGCAGGAACACTGCGAGAGAGGTAGAGGAGAGAGAGAGAGAGAGAGAGAGCGAGAGAGAGAGCGGGAGAGAGAGAGAGAGAGAGAGAGAGAGAGAGAGAGAGAGCGAGAGAGAGAGCGGGAGAGAGAGAGCGAGAGAGAGAGAGAGAGCGAGAGCGAGAGAGAGAGCGGGAGAGAGAGAGCGAGAGAGAGGGAGGGAGGGGAAAGCTAAGCTGTCTGAAGCTGAAAGAAGCCTTTCAACTTAAAAATGGCCAATAAAATTAGCTTCTCAGGAACAGACCGCCCCTGTGGTTTCCTGTCATCCTTCTCATAACTCCAGCATTCAGCATCCCTTCAATGAGACGAGGACGACGACGCGAAGGAGGAGGCGCGTCGGGCGAGGCGTCGTCTTCCGTGACGGGCCTGGCCGCCCAACCGCGTGGCATCTCTGCTGGCAGGCTCGGGGAGGCCGTGCGTGGCTCCAACAGCGGCCCAGATTCTATTTCTCTTTGCGGGCCCGACTCCCGGTGTCGCCACGGTTAGTGGGCTTGTTATCCGGTTCACAATGTCCACACCACATTTCAAAACTTACTCCCCGACAGCCACGACTGCGACCGCCCACCGGCATCTCCCCCTCCTTTGTCCTTTAAGCTCACCGCAGGTCATCACACCGCGCACGGCCCAACTCTATCGTTATTTTTATCACCCCACCCTCCTCCCCGCCGGTGCCTGCATTAGCCTCCTCCCTCGTCGGTCTGTCTTTCTTCCCCATCCCCCCACCTTCCGCCGGCGGCGCCGCCATGTCGGACAAGAAGCATAAGGAGCGCAAGCTCCAGCTCAAATGGCTTACTCTGTACTGGCGGATCGTCTGGGGCCTGGTCCTCCTGGTCTTCCTAGTGCTCCTCACAGTCCTGATTGTGTGGCTGGTCCTCCGGCCCACCAAGCCCAAGTTCTACCTCCAGGATGCCTCCGTCACCTTCTTCAACGCCTCCAGCGAGTTCCCCAACCTGATCTCCGTGAGCATCCAGGTCGTCATCTCCACCCGCAACCCCAACGGACGCGTCGGCGTCTACTACGACAGGCTCGACGTGTACGCGGCGTACATGTCGCAGCAGATCACTCCCGCCACCCCGCTCCCGCCGACGTACCAGGGCCACAAGGACGTGCTCCTTTGGTCGCCGTTTCTCTGCGGCGTGAACGTCCCCATTGCGCCCTACCTTGCGGCGTCGCTGGCACAGGACAAGAGTGACGGGCTCCTCATACTGCGGGTGAAGATCCTCGGCCGGGTCCGCTGGAAGGTCGGCAGCTGGACCTCCAACCGTTATCGCCTCACAGTCGACTGCCCCGCTCTCCTGAGCTTCTCCGGCGACCGGGCCGTCTCCGGCAACGGGTACTACCCGTCGCCGCTCATCCGCTTCCAGCGGACCTCCTCGTGCAGCGTCAGCGTCTGATTACGCCCTCTCTCTCCGCCGCTGTCCATAAAGGTACCGTCCTCCATCGTTGAAGAATAGACAATAGACAATAGACCAGACCACCACATTGTTCAGCGAATATGGACTGAATCTTGTTAAAACCACGCAGAGCACTTTAGAACAGACTAATGAGGACTCTCTCTTTGCTTACGGAACCGGTACTTAAAGTCATGCTCGGATCAACGTGTTTGACAGGTGGCTTGCTCTCCCGTGGACGGCTGGGGGGGTGTGATTGGACGTCAACGGCGGAAGGTGACGGTGGCCTCATCCGATGCCCTAGTGGCCTCTCCTGTTCCCACCTTCTCACAACAGGATCATTACGAAATATTAGACAAAAACTGCAGATTCGCGAAGAAATATCTTGAAGACGGAGACCTCAACAACCACGGCAAGCAGTACGATGCAAAGTAAAAGAATAATTTTAGTCGACTGTAGAGCATCATCAGTTCTTACGACTGAAATATCTACGAATTTGTCTTTATGTTAATTTCTATAAATAGATTGCTCAAGGGTCTAATGAACTGGTGGGAGAAGTATCTATTTTCCAGATGAGTGTTATGGTCGGTAATGAAACACAGAGAAAGTCAACGTATACTTCTTAGATAAAAAATATTAAAATAATTTATTTGATAAAAGTGAGATCTGAATGAAAACTTGTTAATTAATGCAGCCCGCATCATCCTCCGCGCTAGCGACCGCATTAAATCAGGGTCAGACGAATGTGGGCAAACTGGTAGTTGCTACCATCAAGATCGCTTAGCAGCTAGCGAAATTGGCTGGCCCTTCTCGCCCACGGCGTGGGACGAGGGCAGCGGCCGAAGCTTCTTTCCTCACCACAGCGAGCAGCAGCGATGCAACCATCGCCAACTTGCGGCGCTGGCGGCGATTTGAAGCTGGTGAAAGCCTCTGACTATGATCTAGATGAGGCGATTTCCTTTACCATTGGCTCCCCTATCTTATTCAGTCTTTTCTACCGGGAAAATTCTCACTAGTCGATCTTAATTCCTCAAAAAGTTTAGCTTGGTCTGCTCATTGGACCCACAAGCGAGCGACTCACGGCACTGAGCAGGGCTACAGTCACCAAACCATAATAGTGGGCCCAGAGCGGGAGCTGCATGTGAGAAAACTGTTCATTCTCACCTCCGTTTATTCTCTTCACCTCCCACAGTCGTCTGAAAGAAGTCGTCGAGCAGGTGCACCGGCCCCACGTGAAATGTTTCTCCTCACTTTGTTGACCCGTCCTCCTCTCATGATTCACCTAGGGGGCAGGCCTCTGTAATGGAAAGAGTCGATCACCATCGCATTGTGAGGATGTTCAACCCTAGAATCGGGATATGGCTGTAGAGAGAGGGGGAGAGGGAGACCATTGCATCATGAGGGCGTCCTTCCCTAGAAGCGCTGGATATGGCGAGGGAGAGAGAGAGAGGGAGAGAGAGTACATTCATGAAATAGCAGATCAACAAATTTCTCTCTTTTCAATTTTCTTAAAAAAAGATAAAATCACATTCATGAAATAGCAGATTATAACGTTATTTCATGAATGTGATATCATGGTGGCGCGGTGATAACATGCTATTTATGCATGTAATTATATAATTATTAATGCAAATTAAGGTATTAATCATTACAAATATATGCATGTTATCATATTTTAAGTATATTTCTATCATTTTGTGTAAATTCATGTTATGATCTAAAAATACACCAAATTATGGATTATTATAAATAATTACACATTAAAATATTTAATCCTAATTATATTTATGATCATAATCATGTTTTAAGAGTGAAAATATGAGAGAAAAGATATTTATTAACATTTATGTATTTATTTTATATAATACATAAATGTATAAAATTAATTAAAATGTAATTATCTTCTTATTTTAATAATTTGACCTTTTACAATGATAGATTATTCAATTTTGAATCCAAAAAAACAAATTTGAATTAATTTGGAGTCGTATTTTGAAAGTTATGGTTTTTACAATTTTTATAGAATTTTCTGGAATTTTTCTGAATTTATTTATATTTATTTTCGATTTTTAAATGTTTTAAATTAATTTAAAAAATCGCAAAAAAAGGGGGTTACATGTCGCGCGTGTACACGTGGATGCGACGTGGTACTCGGGGCCACGTTGCTCTGCCACGTGGACAGCACGCGGGCGGCTGCGTGGCGCTGATGTGACACGTGGCGTATTTATATTTTCTATATATATTTATTTAATAAAGTCATATCTTATATATTTGAATATACTCCTTTGTTTTTTCCGTATGGGACTAAAGTCCCTTAGTTTTCTTCTGTACTGACGCGTGGCGTGATCTCGTGCGTCCGATCGACATCGCGACAAATAGCGTGCGTAGATCACGTGGAATCGAGGTCCACGCGATCAGAGATCAACAACGCCTAAGTACTCACTTAAGTGAATAAATCGCGACCGTCTGATCGAGAGTTATAACGGTCCAGATTATTCACATTAGATGGACATCAAATTACATCTTAACCGCACGATCACGATCGGACGATCGTCGAATCGTCGCGACGATTCGTGAAGAGGCGTCTCATCGCGATCGTCCATCGCGATCAACTCCATCAGATCGGACGGCCACGATCATTTCCGAATTTTATAAAATCCGTTCTTCGCGACGGAAGAACTGCCCGCGATCAATCTTCAAATTCTCTTTGACTAGAGCTCCAATTCGCGCGCCATCTTTTTCATTGTGTTCGCAACTCATTTCCGCTTCTGTTGGATGTTTAATTTCAATTTTTTTATTGAAATAATTGGAAGAAATCAAGTCTTGAACTTCTCTTTCGTCTTCGAAAATTCGGAATGAAAAGCCTTGCATCCGGCGATTAATTGGATCATTTCGAAGACTAATTTAGTGTTAATTTTACTTTAAGTATTGTAGATTAAGTTTAATTTAGTTTTAATTTCTGTTTTTAATCATTTCTCGATACGAAAATTTCTCTTAACTTCAAACTTCGATTACTCTTCGAATTCTCATCCAAATCACCTGATTTTTGATTCCGTGGATTCGAAATTGAGTTATCTTTCTTAATATAAATTGCCCAATTTCTAACTTAATTTCATCGTCCGATTTGACCGAATTTCAAAGATATCTCTCAAATTTCCCTAATTCTCCGTGGATTCGACCCTTACTTACCATTATACTAATTAATTACTTTGATTAATCATAAATTGGTAAGATTAGGACTTTGTTTTGACACTGAATCATGTGCATTCAACGACCATACGATCCAGTCTCGTCACGCGGCGGGGGGCATGGTTAATGGGAATTTCCTTTTTCTCCTAAGCCTCTTCCAAAACCAATTTACGTGCAGACCCAGCAGCCGTACTGGCCCACAGCCGGTATGTTTATTGGATCACATGTATGACCTGGCTAAGTCTTAATTCGTCCCTTTCTTTATGATAGGCCCATAACCTGCTCACTTAGCAAGGTGATTTGTTGTCGTTCACTTCTGCCACTAACATGATAACCAGTGTTAAGCCAGTTGCTCGTCTTTAGCCTTCTTCTGAACATGACCCTTAGTTTCAAGATTGGGCACTCGTGGAGTCTTCACCATGCCTTCCCCACCGTTTTCCCTCCAGCTAGGAAGAATGAGTTTCTAGAATTGATGTTCAAGTGCCTTCCCTTCTTAATCAGCTCTGTTTCAAGATTGGGCACTCGTGGAGTCTTCACCATGTCTTTCCCACCGTTTCCCTTCCAACTAAGAAGAATGAGTTTCAGAATTGATGTTTAGGTCTCTTCCCTTCTTAATCAGCTCAACTAAGGACTAAACCACTAGACCTCATGCCATTGATCATGGCTTTATATTTTTTGGTTCTCTTTCCCCCATGACATCTAACTTCTTCATTTAGATGTTAAAAGACCCTAAGAGATAGGTAGCTCTTTCCTCATGGATTTACATTTTTCCTTTCTTCTATATCTCTTTTTTTATTATTATTCTTTCTTTCCTCTCTCTTTTACTTCTTTTTTTTTCTCCAGAGGTATGAGGCTCGGGAGGGATAGGAATTACGACCTTTTGGACCTTTCACTCCACTTCCTTTATTTATTGGTACTTTCCTCCCTTGTCTTTCTCTATTTTCCAATGGTAGATATCGAGGTGTTCCAAACAATTACCAAAGAATAAAGATGGCTCCTGACATGAGGTTTTGCAGTTCAAACCTTGGCTACTATAATCTATGTTTGGGTTTGACAAACCAGTTGTCATGTTCTTCAACCCACATCAAACATGGCATGGATGATTAACTACTACAGTCTAGCTTAGGCACTGCCCTTATCATTGACCCTTCCTTTCCTTTGAGCTTATGAAACTTTCTCATTGTTCCATGCATTTTTTTCTTTAAAGTTTGGATAAGTATGTGCCTACGCTATTGTATGTTAGAGAAATCTCGCTTTTCTAGGATGTAACAACATCGCACAATCTTCAGGAGTTCTTGAGGTGTTTTATACATGTTGTCCCCTTCCTAGGGCACTCCTTTTTTGGCTAGTATGTATGATATTGTGTTCCCTTCTTTTACATAGTAAGAGATCATGCATACAACATTAAGAGAGTTCAAATTTTCTGTACACTATTTTTCTAAAAGCCATATTTTACAATGGTTACTACACATCATGTTAGAGATTGACAAGGAGTTTATTTCAATAATAATATTTTTAAATGTATGCTGCACCAAAGAGATTATTCATCTATCATAGCCCTACATTCTTCCTTTATATTAGCAATCTTTCTATGGTTACTAAATGATGCTTCATCGACATTAATTTTGAATGTTTCATCTAATCAAGACCAACTCATGTATAATGTTGGCTCCTAAGATTTTAATCACCCACCTTTAAGCAATTTCTTAATCCTTGTAAGTGTTGGGTTTCTTTGACTCTACCATTTATGCTAAGTCAACCACCTATATTTGACACCTATAGATGATCAAGGCTGATGTACAAATATCTCCCCTCCCCATATAGATGATATTTTTACCTTTCTAAGTTTCCCATAGCGTACATGCAAAGGTGATTATGGAGAGTAGACTTGTCAATCCTTCCTTTTCATTAAAGAAGAAATACAATATCATGAAAATGGTTTAGATTTTAGGTTTGGTAGCCTCCATTCCCTCATGAATCATTTCCAACACTCAACGCCCATCTTCTATAAAATAATAAGTGACTCAAACTCTCTTCTTTATACTAATTCATGCAACATATACACTTTGAGGATAGGTGCATGCCTTGTTGTTACACCTCAAGTGAGATGGCACGAGATAACTAAGATCCACTCTCCAATTAGCCCTTTGGATATTTAATAAAGCTCACAAAGGGGTCCCTCTTCTCGTCTGCTCCCCACTTTCTTCAGTTATGAAGGAGGCAAAGCGGACTAGCCATTACAGGGGATTTGAAATAGCTGTTACACCTAAGCTGTAGTTAGCCATTGGGGCATAATGATCGTCTTGCTCGCTAGCTGTTGGGGTGCCTTAGACACCCTGCCAACCATTACACTTGCCCAAGTGTCATCCCACCTATTAGCATCCACTGTCCCCCAAGACTATATTTCCACCATTGCACAAGTGTATTAGTCTTTTCACCTCATGTGGGGGTTCTATGTGTCTGAGGAGCCATTTTGTCTTGGGTCCTATGATGTCATGCCTTGCCATTATGCTGCGCAAGTCCATCTTGTTGCATGCACCTATTGTGCCACGCACATCCACTATGCTCGTTATGTCGAATGCACGTGCCGTGTTGCATGTTTCTGCTGTGCCGTATGCACCCATTGTGCCTATCGTGCTGCCCGTGTCCACCGCACCATGTGTGCTTATCCCGCCATGTGAGCCTACCCTATTGCATGTGCCTATTGTACCTTGTAGGTCTACTATGCCGTTGCTTCCTCTGTAACATTCTCCCCCCCTTGAAGAATATGATATTCTTATCGGGTGAGTTGCGAGGTACTTAACAAGTTGTTCCTCAAACTATCATAGGTCCTTCTTGTGGTGCCACATTGTCGCTTCATGTGAGTCCCCTTCCCATCGTATGAGAAAGTCAGTGTGCTTGTGCACACTGTGGTGGCCACCTCTATTAGTGAACTTGTGGGTCAGGATATAACTGATTTTTCTTGAGAATGTTGTTTTAACTAATGGAGGTTGTTGCATGACTCTATTCCTTTTTAAGTTCTTCTGGTCAAACTTGTACCGCTTCAATAACGATACGTGGAAAACCGAGTGAATGGACAACCTCAAGGGCAACTATATTATATATGCCACTAAGTCGATTCAGTCCAAGATAGTGAAGGGGCCTTCAAACTGTGGAAGTAAACTTCGGCTCTTAATAGTGTCTCTCATGCATCGGTGAATTTTGGGGTTCATCCTAAGTTATCACCTGACTAAAACTCGACTTCATATCAATGTTTGTTTGTGTATTTTTTCATTTTATTCACTATTTACTAGAGATTGTCCTTCATTATCTCTAGTATGTCTATGTGCTCCATCACTAGTCTAGTGGCTACATGACACCTCTTGGGGCCATCTAGTAGTTGGAGGGACATCAATGGTTGACAGCATGTGGCTAGTTCGAAGGGAGAGTAACCCATAACACTACATCGTTGGAGTTTGTATGTCAATTGTGTTGAATCTAGTAGTTCTGCCTAATTGTCTTGCTTGGCCGAGACATAATGTTTAAGATATTCTTCCAACATACTATTGAGACATTCTATCTAGCCATCTATATGTGGATGATATGCAGTAGAGAAATACAATTGTGTCCCTAATTTAGTGAACAACATTTTTCATAATCTCTCAGTGAAACGTGCATCTCTATCAAATATGATCCTTTGGCGTAGCCTCTAATGCTTAACCACATGCTTGAATATCAATTGTGTCACCTTTTCTACTGAGCAATACTAGTTACTAATCTCAAATATCTAATACTTCGTGAGTTTATCAATGATCATGAGTATGGTATCGGCCTCCCCATTCTTCAAAAAGTTAGTAATGAAGTCAAAGGTAATAGTGTGCCATGGTACCTCCAGAATGGACAGTGATTGTAATAATCTTGCCAAGTGCGACGTTCTATCTTTTCTTACTAGCAGATCATACATGACTCGACATAGGCATCTATATCTTTCTCTATTCTTGGCTAGAAGTAGTCCCTACTCAACAAGGTCAAGGTACATTATTGACTCAAGTCACCCGACCACCAAGTGTTGTGTACTTCCATAGTTAATTTTCACCAAAGGTCCTTAGTTGTTGAGATGTATATTCGGCATCCCTTTGCGAATAGTAGTCCATCTTTGAACCAATACTATCGTGTTGTGCTAATCTGAATGCGGGCCAACATCTTCTAAGCATAGGAGTCCATAATTAGTTCTATTATGTTGACCACATTGATCTTTGTTGTTGTCGCCCCGCAGTTGAGGGTGTATGCAACGACATTTTGTGCCCTTAGTTTATGATGAATATCACAATTGTATTCCATCATAAATTGTTGATATCTCACTTACTTATTCATGAGTCTTAGTTATGATGAAAAATAAGTATTTGTCACATTGTCAATGAATATGGTGAACTGACTATGAAGCAGGTAATGCCACCATATCTTTAAGTAGTGAATAATTATTGTCATCTCTCTTTCGTGGATGAAATAGTTTTATTTGGCACTATTTAGCTTCCGACTTTCAAAAGTCACCGAATGCCCTTCTTAGTTGAGCATTCCCCCCATTGCCTCACTGTTAGTATCTATGTGTAAGACGAATGGTTTATCAAAATCTGGCTGTCGAATGAGATATTTTGATGAAATTACCTCCTTGAGTTTTGCTAAAAACTTCTTCACACATCAACGTAACATCTATTGCCAACACTCATCTTTCCTCAAAAGATTGGTGAGAGGGGTCACAATTGAGGAAAACCCTTTTATAAATATTCTATAATAATTAGTCAGCCCCAAGAATGACTATAGGTCTTTAACACTTTGTGGTACTATCCATTCTTTGATGGCTTTGACTTTCACTTTGTCTATATATACTTTTTCCTCGCCAATGATCTACTTCAAAGAGTCCACTTCTTTTTTGACAAAATTGTATTTGAAGGGGTTTAAGTATAAGCTATTCTTTTGAATGAATGCTAATATTGGGCGAAAGTGATTGAGATGGTCCTATATATTGTGACTGTAGATCAATAAGTTGTTTAGTAGACTACTACAAAGACATCCAAATATAACTGAAAGATAAAGTTTATTAGGGTGTAAAAAGTAATCGGGGCATTGGTGAGCTCAAAGGATATTATTGTGAACTCAAATGACCCATACGATGTTACACATGTTGTTTTGGGTTCGTCACTTACCAAGATCTGCACTTGACGATATCCGTTCTTCAAGTTCAACTTCAAAAATATCTTTAACATACTAGTCAGTTGAATAGGTCTTTGACTTTTAAGACTAGATACCTATTGCAGATAGTAAACTTATTCAAAACTCTGTAGTCCATACACAGCTTGAGACTTATATACTTCTTCTAAAATAACATCAGTGCACCAAATGGTGACTTAGACAGTTGTAGGTGTCTTGCTTTCAATAAGCCTTGAATATGTGTGTGCAATTCTATGAGATGATGTGGCGGCATCTTGTATGGTGCCCGCACTAGGGGTTGGCTCCTAAGACTAACTCTATGGCATCATTTACCCCTCTTCTTGGAGGTAATTTGGCCGGTAACTTCTCTGATAGTAAATTAGCAAACTGTATCAATAGTTACTAAATTTTGATTAGGATTTTGGTTTGCTCCACTCATGGGCTGGTCTGGACGACCAACATGAAGGTCTCCTCTCCTTTCTTTAGTCCTTTTTGTACTTGTTGTGCTGATATCACCTTGTCCTGTGATCGTGTTTTGTAAGATTTACCTTAATGGTCAGGACAAAGTGTGGTCTTCTACCCCCTTAGATTGCCACTCTATTGGAAAAGACTCTCTCAGCCACCTTTGTTAGGAAGTTTATGCCTAGTAATATATTAAAGGAGGTAAGAGACATCACCCTTGTAATCTCGTCATTGTGAGTTCCACCCTGAGGTTAACTCTCTGAGCTTCTTCTAGGAAAATAAAGTTACCTATTGCACCACAATCTACCATTCTTGTAATTGTTTCTTCATCAACTTGGGTCTTGACATATGTCAGTCTTTTTGCTAATTGTCTTTGTGTTAGTTGCAAACAGTTGATGATTTTAAAAGATTTGATGTCTTCTTTCTCGTTATTATTTAGTTAGATGGTGTTCAACTGTGACTTCTTGTTGAAGTTTGGACAGTCATACTTCTTATGTGGTCCCTCACAATTGAAGCAGCCCATTCCATACATTGTCTTAATGTCCTTGAACGGAGTTGGGTTGGATAGTATCTAAGTCGTGAGGCCTATGCATCCTCCTCCCTATCCTTACTACCCATTTCCCTAGCCATGTCATCCCCTGCAACCCCTTGGTGCAGTTTCTGAGATGAGTTGATTGTATTGATAGTACTCAAGCCTTTAGACAATCCTACATGTTTCATCTAGGGTGATAGCATGGTACCTAAAGCATTCTCTTCTTGTCCACAGTTGTGGCTCAATTAGAAAAAAATATATTCTAAGTTCTTCAAACATCATTGGGATGTCGAGCATCAATGTCAAGAATCTTTGCACATATTCTCATGTGGAGCCACATTATCAACTTAGACACCACTTCAAACAATTCAGTCGAAGGTCTAAATATTACTTAATTGAGGTTTTGAAGTCATCGCATGTCTCTGACACATCCTCTTCCTTCATCCTCCACCATAAGGCTGCTGAGTTTTTGAAGAATCATGTGGTGATCCCAACGCATTATGTGTCGATGTAGTCATGGTCCCTAAGGTAATTCTCTACCTCCCACATGAAGGCATCCACCTTGGTCATATCCCTCTAACCCAAGAATGGCTTGGGTGGGGGAAGGTCAGTTCGCTTCTGACCCTCCATCTAAGGGTTGATCCCTTATTGGTGGAGTCACTCGTTGAAGGCTCTAAAGTGTTCCTCTGTTGGGGGAGGTTCCTCTTTAAGACTCTCCACTAGTATTGCTTGTAGATTCTCTTTGAAGCTCCTCTACCTTTATGTTTGTCGATTGGGCATGCTCCTTCAATTATTCTTACCTTTTATTTGAACACTTTTTCTACTAGGTCATCATTTTGTGGAGTTTGGACATATTTTCTTTGAGCATCTTTTCAACTACTTAGAAGGGTGCTCGTGTGGACTACAATTCATACTCCAGCCACATAATACATTACCTTTGTCCCCTTTCTCTTATGGCTCTAATACCACTATTACACCTTTAGTAAGATGTGGCACTAGATAACTAAGATCTGCTCTCCAATTAGCTCTCTAAATATTTATTAAAACTCACAAAAGAGTCCCACCTCCCATCTACTCTCCACCTTCTTCGATTACAAAAGGGGAGGGAAATAGACTAACCATTATAGGGGTTTCGGATTAGTCATTACGCTTGAGTTGTAGTTAGCCGTTGGGGTATGACAATCATCTTGTTCGCTAGCCGTTGGGACACCTCGAGCTCCCTGTCAACTGTTCTACTTGCCTGGGCGACATCTCATCCATCGGCATCCACTATCTCTCAAGACTATATTCTCACCATCATGTAGGTGTATTAGTTTTCTCGCCTCTTGTAGGGGTTCCATGTGTCTAGGGACCCATGTTGTCTTGGGTCTTATGATGCTGCGCCTTGCTGTCATGTCGTACAAGTCCTTCGTGCCGCATGCGCCCTCCATGTCACTTGTGCTTGTCGGGCCACATGTGCCCATCGTGACGCACATGTCTGCTGTGCTTGCTTTATAGAGCATGCTCACTATGTCACGTGCACCTACTATGCCATGCATGCCTGCCATGTCACAACATCTGCCATTCCCCCACGTGCTTGTTTCACCACATGAGTCTACCTTGTCATGGGTGCATGTTCCCCCTTGTAGGTCTACTACACTGCTACTTCCTCCATGACACTTGCCTCTTAATGTTGTTGTCTAGTGGTACTTTGTTTTGACATAATCTCTAAAAGAGGAAGGTGATTTTTGTGGGGTATACTTTTTGCCATATCACTCTCTTAGAATTTCACCTCCTTTTTAGGTCTAACTTTATCCCAAGTTGAAGTAGTCGTAAACTCACTATGAGATGTTCAAGTCAAATACATCTATTATGCTGATCTAGGGTAAGAGTTAATGGATCTAGGATTGTTGTTCTAGGTACCCCTACCTTCCTAAGAATTTGTCTCTAATTTCTAACCAATAATTGATGGATTATGAGGTTAGGTTTATTAGCATTAATTTGGTATAACTCTAATGCTTATTTTCCTATTTAATTATCCAACCAAATATTAGAGTTATCCCTATTAATATTTCATCAAATTAGCTCCTTCATTTCAACCCATTTCTCTTATAATTTTCTCCATGTTGCAAGGCATACAACATTGTTTTCCCAAATCATACATTCACTTAATTTTGCCTTCAGAAGTTTATCCCATTATGACCCAACCACATTTCCTCGTCATGCCATTTCCATTCTTAATATTTTCATCTGATCCATGAGTATTTAAATATTTATTTCTTTTTAAAAAATAAAAAAGTGAAGCTAATACCAAGAGAAATCTTTGTCATTAAAAGTAGGAGCGTAGAACTCAAATCTATCTTTTAACTTGAAGTAGAACCTCCCATCAACCAACTCAACAAATGGCATTAAAATACCAATTGTCATCATCCAATTCAATACCTAAGAGATTCAAATGTAGAGAAAAATGTTGTGATCTGATCTCATAGATCCTCTCCACCATAGATTGCAACTCGTGGACAAGATAATCTCAATCTCTAGTCATACCCCTAAATGATCACTACCACTCAAAATGACCATTGAATCACCCTTGGTACTTCATCACCCATCAAAGATCATATCACTCTTCCTCTTTTGATGGTTCTCTTAATGATAGCTCATTAACTCAACATCATCCCTTAAGAAGACAAAATATTGATTATTTTATATGGTAGTTATGTTGTCTCTTGATTTTAAGCTTTTAATGTTTAATGTCAAACCTAGGATAAAGTTGGTCAAGCCTATTGCCATTTAATGTAAAATTAACAAACTACGTTGATAATTTTTTATTTTTATTGGTCCATCCTTTTGGCCAAAAGAGAGGTGGCCCCCCTAAGGCCCAAATGTAACCTTTAAGTATTCCTCTCTCCTCCTTTGACAGAGTTTTTTTGACATTTCTAAATCGATAATTTTTTGTATGTGAGACTCTCCTTTCTCTTTGACTCTTCTCCAACCATTCTCTCCCCTCAATCCATCTATTCTCCCAATGCTTTACATTCTTATTTCCTTACATAGAGGTATCAAAACATCATGTTCGTGTATTATATATTTTTCTTGTCATGGAGAACAAATTAATATGAAAGGGATTCAAAGTTTTTGGACATTTATGAAGATTTTTTTACCATATCAAGAGTGTGAAGTTTTTGGAAATAGTGAATAGTAACCACCCCCTCAACCTCTTACAACCTCTTGTGATTTTTTCAATAGAAAGAAATATGATTTTTGAAGTATTAAGATGATAATATTTTTTATCTTAGAGGACTTAAGG